ATGACACTACCGGTTAATCTGATAATATGGGTCTAAAGAAAACATCCTTCAAAAGGGATGGTGACCGCTGCTTCTTTTGTAAGAAGAAATGTCACGTAAAGAAGGACTGTGGAAAGTTCAAAACTTGGTTGTCCAAACGGGAGCCTACAGGTAATGATTCTTTGACACTTGTTTGTGAATCCAACCTATCAAAAAGCACCATCAAGTTCTTGGTGGTTCGATAGCGATGCAACTAATCATGTTGCGTTTACCATACAGGGATTCATAAACCGGAGGAAGCCAAATCAGGATGAGTCAAGACTCACTGTGGGAAACAACGAGAAAGTCGATGTTGTGTTTGTGGGAGATTTTATTTTGATTCTAGACTCTGATTTTAGATTAATATTGAAAGACACTTTTTATGTACCTTCTTTTAGACGGAACTTAGTTTCCGTATCGTGTTTGGACATGTATGGCTACTCTTTTGAAATCAAGAACAATGTTATTTCTTTGTTTCTTAATTCAAATAAGGTTGGGTGCTGTAATATGTCCAACGGATTGTACAGATTGTGTTTGTTTCCCAATGACATATACGTCGCTTATACGGCTAAAAAGGTTGTTTCCAAGAGATCACTACCTAAGGAATAGTCTTATGGATTGTGGCATAAACGGCTTGGTCATATTTCTAAGGATAGAGTAGAAAGGCTGATAAAGACTAACACCTTGCCTGCTCTTAAAGATGACCTAGAGACATGCGTAGACTGTTGTAGAGGTAAAATAACCAAGATAAGGAAGAAAACTGCAGTCCGAAATTCTGACCTGTTGAAGGTCATTCACATTGACATAAGTGGATCATATACGGCAACCTTGTGTAGAAATTTTTATTTCATCACATTTATTGATGACTATTCTCGATATCGCTATCTGTACTAAATTAAAGAAAAGTCTGAGTCTCTTGACAAGTTCAAGATTTTTCGGACTGAAGTCGATAAACAGTTGGGAAAGGTCATAAAGGTTGTTAGATCTGATCGAGGTGGAGAGTATTATGGCAAGCATGGCGATGCCGGACAGCTTAAGGGGCCATTTGCCAAATACTTAGAGGATTCCGGGATAGTGGCTCAGTTTACTATGCCTGGGAGTTCTGAGCAAAATGGTATAGCCGAAAGGCGCAATCGCACCCTTATGGAAATGGTGAGGAGTATGATTAGTAGGACAAATTTACCTGATTTTTTGTGGGGTGAAGCTTTGAAAATAGCTTTGTACATTCTGAATCGTGTACCTACTAAAGCTATTCTATTGACTCCTTTTGAGTTATGGACTGGACGTAAGCCTAGCTTAAACCATCTTAAGGTTTGGGGATGTCCTACAGAAGTGAAGTTATATAATCCAACATTAAGTAAGTTGGACTCAAGAACCACTCGATGTTACTTTGTATCTTACCCGGATCATTTGAAGGGATATCGGTTCTATAATCTCAATGGAGGCACAAGAATTGTGGAATCACAGACAACGAAGTTTCTAGAGTTTGATGTGATCGAAGAAAGTAGCTGCTCACAGACTATTGAGGATAATAGTACGGTGGGTAATGTTGTATCTTTATCTCCCCCCATACAGATAATTGTGGGCAAAAGAACACTACAAGTGCCATAACTTGTGTACGGCGCTCACTTTAGTGCCATAACTTTTTTTTGGATCACTTTAGTGCTAAAATTTTTGAAAACGATCACTTAAGTGCTAAAATTTTTGAAAAACGATCACTTAAGTGCCAACTCCGGTGCCGTACACAATTTTTCGCGGAAATCGACGTGGCATTTTTTTATTAATTTCGAAGTGACGTGGCTCGCCGGAGTCTCGCCGAAGATTGGCACTTAAGTGATCGTTTTTCAAAAATTTTAGCACTTAAATGTTCGTTTTTCAAAAATTTTAGCACTTAAGTGATCGTTTTTCAAAAATTTTAGCACTAAAGTGATCCAAAAAAAAGTTATGACACTTAAGTGATCGTTTTTCCTCCGACTTGGCACCAAAGTGATCCGAAAAAAAGTTATGGCACCAAAGTGAGCGCCATACACAAGTTATGGCACTTATAGTGTCCTTTTGCCGATAATTGTGGAGACTCCCACACCACAGACTGAACCTGTTGAGGCTCAGGATCATGTTGTCGAGATAGCTCCTAATGAAGTTCCTCAAGACTCTCAGGTGTAGGATAAAGCTGTTGTTGCTCTAGTAAGGAGATCCATTAGGGAGAGACGATTAGCTATACCACCGGATTATTTAGTCTATATAGGAGAGCAAGACTATCATATCGGTTATGTGGCTGATCCAGTGACTTATGCGGAAGCTGTTTCTTGTCCTCAGTTGGAACTGTGGTTGGATGCAATGAGAGATGAAATGCAGTCTATGAAGCATAATGGTGTTTGGGAACTTGTTGAATTACCTGAAGGTCATAGACCCATTAGCTGCAAATGAGTGTATAAGACTAAAAGGGACTCCAAAGGAAAGATTGAGAAGTTTAAAGCCAGACCGGTAGCCAAGGGTTTCACTCAGAGAGAAGGAGTAGACTATGAAGTAACTTTTTGTCCAGTCTTTTGTAAAGATTCTTTCAGAGTGATCATGACATTGGTAGCTCATTTTGATATGGAGTTACACCATATGGATGTTAAAACTGCATTTCTCAATGGAGACCTTAGTGAAGAAGTCTATATGATGCAACCTGAAGGCTTTGTGGCAGATGATTCAAGTACGCTTGTATGTAGACTGAAAAAGTTTATTTATGGTCTCAAGCAAGCTTCTAGACAATGGTACTTGAAGTTTCATAGTGTTGTCCTTCATTTGATTTTGTTGAGAACAAAGTAGATCAGTGTATATACTGCAAGGTCAGTGGGAGGAAATTCATTTTCCTTATACTCTATGTGGATAATATCCTGCTTGCGAGCAGTGACCTTGGTTTATTGCATGAGACAAAGCGGATGTTGTCAAAGAACTTTGATATGAAGGACCTTGGTGATACGTCTTTTGTCCTTAGCATTGAGATTCATAGGAATCGTTCTTGCCGACTATTGGGTTTATCTCAGAAGGCATATGTTGATCGTATCTTAGAAAGATTCAACATGCAGCAATGCAAGCCAGGAATTGCTCCTGTCATTAAGGGTGATAAGTTAAGTCTGTCACGATGTCCTCATTTAGATTTTGAGAAAGCCCAAATGAAGAATGTACCTTATGCTAGTGCACTTGGGAGTATTATGTATGCTCAAGTATGTACTAGACTAGATATTGCTTTTGCAACAGGACTTCTAGGCAGATATCAATCAAATCCAGGATACGATCATTGGGTTGCTGCCAAGAAGGTTTTGAGGTACTTAAAGAGGACAAAAGACTATATGCTGATTTACAAACATGTTCAGGACCTACAGCTGGTCGGGTATTCGGATTCAGACTTTGCTGGCTGTCAGGATGAAAAGAAGTCGACAACGGGTTACATCTTTAAGTTAGCAGGAGGTGCAGTATCATGGAAAAGTGAGAAACATAAATCAATGACATCCTCTACCATGCAAGCGGAGTTTGTAGCATGCTTTTCGGCTGCTACTCAGGCAATTTGGCTCCGGAACCTTATTAAGGAGTTGACCGTATTTGATTTTATGGATAGGCCCATACAATTGTATTGTGACAATAACTCTGCAGTGTTGTTTGTTAACAACAACAGAGGTCTAAAGGGGTCTACGTATACAGAGGTAAAGTACCTGACTATAAACGAAAAAGTTTAGAATTGTGACATTGCAGTAAAGCACATTTCGACAGATGATATGATCGCAGATCTACTAACTAAAGGCCTTCGCCCTTGTGTATTTGATCGACATGTCATTAACATGGGCTTAGAAATATCATGGGATATTGTTAATTAGTGAGAGCTGTTTAGTCTTGTGTTGCTCTTATGAAATTTGTATATGATTTTATGTTACATTTTGTAGCATTTGGATATGTATCAACTTTTTGCATTCAATGAGGTTTTTGTGAATGTAGATTTATCAAGTTGAGTACACATATTTGATGAAATCTCGAGGCACTATGTAAACCTTGAGTACAGGCTATGGGGTATTCTTGGTATTAGCCTTAACGATATGTCTTGTTGCACATAAAGTATAGTTAACTATCAAGGTAAGACATATGCAGGTTCGTTGGAACCATGAAGGACATTCTCTGGTGATACACTAGGTTTTGTGACACTTAAGGAGAGAGAATTTGGACTAACAAAATGGATAACACATGAAGTATCACTCATTATGAGGTATTGTCCATTTGACACACTACCATGTTGAATCCATATCAGTAAAGTTGAAAGCACTTGTGACGATGGAAGGCTCTACGTGAGTACATGTAGTTACTGCCATGATTCGGTGTTCGAGACTTTATGGGATCGGATTGACTATTAAGAATGATTTCTAGACCAATATAAGGGTGCGCATACAGTTCTATTTCAATTAATATCGCCCAAGTGGGAGAATGTATGAATTTCCTAATGTGGGCTTCATTAATTGAAATTAACTGAATTAGTTTGGTTTAATAAAGGTAAGATATATGAGTTTTTAATAAGTCTAATATGGGGCTGGCTGGTGTGGGCCGAGTACGGCCCGGCCCGTAATGAGAGGGCCCGTGGTCGAAAACTCTATAAATAGCACTCAAGTCTCTCCCCTAACCTGATAATGCAATTTGACTCACATATGGATCTAGAGAGAACTTTCTTCTCGTGAGTGGCAATCTCATTAGGCCAGTGTTCTAACGAAGGGTATAGGGGAGAAGCACTTGAGTTCGTGTTCGGAAACCGCCGCAAATTCCGCGTCAAGTTTGATAGATTCCAAACTAGGTACGCGAATCGATAATTTCTCCATTAACGTGTTTCGGTTTCTGATTATGGTGATCCTGGGCGTGCCATTTTCGTGGCCAACATTATATCTATATCGACATTGGAAGATGTAGTTAGATATTGACATTTAACGGCGAGTCTAACTAACCTTTTTTTTCCTGATTTTGTTATTACTCGTAATTACCGAAAGTCCACCTCAATAATTAGGCCCGTTTTGCTTTCCCTGTGTGAGCCATCGCCGGTTCTTGTCTCTCGGTTCATCATCCTCACCTCTCTCTCTCATGGATTCATCCAAGGAGGTTTCACTCGAGATCTTCCCCTACATCAGAGTCTACAAAGACGGCACCTTTGACCGCCTCACCGGCTTCGAGATCGCCCCGCCTGGCCTCGACCCCGAGACCCGAGTTGAGTCCAAGGACGTCCTCATCCTCCCCGACACCGGCATCTCTGCCCGAATCTACCGCCCCTCCTCCGCCTCCGCCTCCGCCGCCAAGAAACTCCCCCTCGTCATCTACTTCCACGGCGGGGCCTTCATCATCGCCTCCATCGCTGACCCCAAGTATCACGCCAGCCTCAACGCCTTTGTCGCCGAGTCCGACATCATCGTCGTCTCGGTCGACTATCGCCGAGTCCCCGAGTACCCTCTCCCTGCGGCCTATGATGACTCCTGGGCTGCTCTTCAGTGGATCGCATCCGGGGAAGCTCGGCGCGAGTCGTGGCTCAGGGACCAAGCTGACTTTGATCGGCTCTTCCTCATCGGGGACAGCGGCGGCGCCAACATGTCGCACCACTTGGCCATGCGACTCAGGTACGGTACAATAACGAACCTAAAGATGCTTGGTGAGTTTTGTAGTGTTCATTTGTTATAAGTAACTTTTAGATTTCATAGCTGTCTTACAATTATAATTTTTAAATTGTAGACAGTTTTGTAGTGTTCATTTGTTACAAGTAACTTTTACCTAAAGTCTCCTTATTTCATTATATTTCTAAGTTTCTGCATCCATCACTGATAGGGGTGACGTGCTTGGCGAGCGGGTCAAGCTCTCGGGGATCGGGATGATACAACCATACTTCTGGGGCGAGACACCGATTGGAGCGGAGGTGGCGGACCCTGGTCGGAAGGCGTTGGTGGACAGCTGGTGGCGGTTCGTGTGTGCGTCAGACAAGGGGTGCGACGATCCGCTGATCAACCCGTTCGCCGATGGGGCCCCCGGCGTGAACGGGCTGGCGTGCGAGAAGGTGCTGGTGATCGTGAGCGAGAAGGACATACTGAGGGACAGAGGGAGGCTGTATTACGACAAGCTGGCAGAGAGCGGCGGGGCAGTGGCAGCGGAGATCATGGAGATCGAAGGCGAGGATCATGTGTTCCAAATCTTCGACCCGAGCTGCGAAAAGGCCAAGAGGCTGTTCAAACGCATGGCCTCGTTCGTTAACAGTGATGGCGATGATCACAACAAGGAGAGTGCGGAGTGACAGGTGCATGAAACAAGAGAGAGATGTTGGAAAGTTGAGGCGTTTTCAAAGTTTCTTTATTACTTTGCCTGAAGTTCGATCGTTGTCTCCACCTTGTCGATCGTAGTGGCATAAAAAAATTATGGTTGATACATTCTTGGCCACAAGAATTTGTTCGGGAAAATCGGACAACAGTTCATCAAGAACTAATCCAATCCAGATCAATTTCTTCTCCAAAACTAAACCAATCAAAATCGAACAACCTCTAATATATTCTAGTAATACAACATCGTAATGTAAATATAATGTCAAAATGATAAGGAGACGAAGACAATAACAATATTGAGATTTTATGTGAAAAACTCAGAGCGGGAAAAATCACGAACGGCCCAAAAACTTTCACTAATTACAAATAATAGTAGAATACATAAAAGTTCTTCTCTAGTCACACATTAGAGACTCAATATTAACAATACAAAAGTATTTCATCATCGTGAACGTGGATTAACACAAATAGAGCGAGAAATCCTAATTGCAATAAGAGAAAACTAGAGAAATTCGGAGAAGGTTTTCAATGAACGAAACTATCAACTCATAGCCCTTGATCTCATGAACAACATACTCAAACTTAAGCCAATTCCAACGATGTTTGGCCGTCCAATTGTCGCAGGAAGCAGTTGCCATCTTTTTCTTTCTTCTCTATGTTCTCTCTTTTCTTTTCTCACTCATGAACGGCAGCTCCACTTTCTTTTCTTCTTTTTGCTTTTTGACTTTTCTTTCCTTTTTTTTATTAATGTTAGCTGGGCCCCACAAAGGATGACCCAACCAACAAATCAGTTTCTTTGCCTCACTGCCTCACGTGAGAAGTTTCGTCATGCCCGCTTTATTTCTATAAGAATCAAGTTTCACCATGCTCAAGGTTTTAGTCATCATATTGGATTCATTATCGTCGATATAGACTTTCTCAAGTAGGAAGAGCTTCTCTTTGAATTTCTCTCAAATATAATGATATTTCACATCAATATGCTTCAATCTTCAATGTAACATCCAATTTTTGTTAAGATAGATTGCACTCATGTTATCATAATACATAATAAACATCTCTTGCTTCAAGCTCAACTCTTGTATGAATTTTTGCATCCACAAGAGTTCCTTTCGTCCAGCTCTACTTCAGTTGTAGACAAAACAATGCATTTTTGCAATCTTGATTGTCGCGAAACTACTCCCCCTACAAAAGTCATCATGTAACTTGATGTGGATTTTCGAGAGTCAACGTCACCAGCATAATCTACAACTAAATAGCCACTCAACTCGGTCTTTCTGTTTCCATAACATAAGCAGAATCTAGAAATGTCACTGAGATAGCTCAAGATCCATTTAATATCATCCCAATGCTCTTTACTTGGATTTGAGAGAAACCTGCTCACAACACCAACTGCATAAGCATTACCTCGTCTTGTACAAAGTATGGTATACATCAAACTACCTACGGCTGATGCATAAGGAATTTTCATCATTTCTTCCCCCTTTTTTTTCACTTGTAAGACACTCTTTACTACTCAATTTGAAATGACTGGCAAATGAAGTACTTACTGGTAGGTGCTCATGTTGAATTTTTCTAGCACATTTTCAATGTACTTTTTTTGAGATAGCCAAAATTTCCCGTCCTTCCTTTCACAAGTAATTCTCATGCTCAAGTTTTGCTTAACTGGTCCCAAATCCTTCGTTGCAAAAGCTTTACACAACTCATTTAAGCTCTTAATTTTCTTAGCATCATGCTCAACTATCAATATGTCATCAACATAGAGTAGAAGGATAAGAAAATTATTATTTGAGAATCTTTCATGAAGACATAAGAATTAGAGACTCAAATTTCACGTACCATTGCCTTTGACGCTTGCTTGAGACCATATAATCTTTTCCTCAATCTACATACAAGATGCTCGTTGCCTTCAACTTTAAAACCCTCTGGTTGCTCCATATATTTTCTTCTAAGTCACCATGAAGAAAAGCTGTCTTTACACAAAGTTGTTTAATTTCCAAATTCAAGCTGGTGGCCAACCCAAGAATAACTCGAATAAAAGTCATTTTTAAAACTAGTGAGAAGTCTCTTCAAAGTCAATTCCTTTCTTTTAATGAAGCCCTTCACAACAAGCCTAACTTTGTATCGTGGTTGCAAACTGCTTTCTTCCGTCTTTAACTTGCATTCCCACTTATTTTTTAGTGCTCTCTTGCCCTTAGTCAATTTCACCAATTCAAATGTGTGGTTCTTACACAAGGATTTGAGCTCCTCTTGTATGGCTTCATGCTATTCATTCTTTTGATCACATGACATAACTTCATAAATTTTTGGCTCTCCTGCATATGTGAGTAACACATACTAGTGCGGCTAATATCTTTACGAAGGTCTATTTTCTCCTGTAGATATTCTAACTTGTGGTAGGACTAGCACTCAACGGAATGAATTGTTTAACTTCCTCCCTAATACACGTCTCGCATGTAATTTCTCAACAGAATGAATTGTTTTAAGGACTTTCCGTTCATGCACAAAGCTAGATTAAAAATACCATTATAGATAGAGTAAAAAGAAATTAGAGAAAAGCATGCATTTTTGTTCTTTTTCTTGGTCGAACATGCATTTTTGGCATTAGCAGCAAATAATTATGTTGATTTCATCGAAGAAGATGAACTTTTTGGTTGCTGTAGTGTAAACGATTTAGCTCATTCTTGTGTTTGATTTTATCAAGACGTGGGATGTTTGACCCATCAAAAACGATAATTAATCCGAATCCATGTCACGAGATCGTCGGGATCAGATTTAAAAAAAAAATGTTTATCTTAGACGCGACTCAAGAGTATTATATTTATAATGCGTTGGAAGACGTAGTTAGACATTGACGTATAACAGTAAGTCTGACTAACCTTTTTTTTTTCTGATGATTTCGTTATAACTCGTAGTTACCGAAAGTCCACCTTAATAAATAGGCCCGCTTTGCTTTCCGTGTTTGAGCCATCTCGGTTCTCGTCTCTCCGATTCATCATCCTCGCCTCTCTCTCTCTCATTAGCATCGTTGACATCTCTCTCTGTCTCTCTCATGGATTCATCCAAAGAGGTCTCAGTCGAGATCTTCCCCTACATCAGAGTCTACAGGGACGGCACCTTCGACCGCCTCGCCGGCTTTGAGATAGCCCCGCCCGGCCTCGACCCCAAGACCCGAGTCGAGTCCAAGGACGTCCTCATCTTCCCCGACACCGGCATCTCCGCCCGAATCTACCGCCCCTCCTCTGCCTTCGCCGCCAAGAAACTCCCCCTCGTCATCTACTTCCACGGTGGGGCCTTCATCATTGCCACCATCGCCGACCCCAAGTATCACGCCAGCCTCAACGCCCTTGTCGCCGAGTCCAACGCCATCGTCATCTCGGTCGACTATCGCCGAGTCCCTGAGCACCCTCTCCCCGCGGCCTATGATGACTCCTGGGCTGCTCTGCAGTGGATTGCATCCGAGGAAGCCCGGTGCGAGCCTTGGCTCAGGGACCATGCCGACTTTGACAGGCTCTTCCTCGTAGGTGACAGCGGCGGCGCCAACATGTCTCACCACTTGGCCATGCGACTCAGGTACGGTAGAATGACAAACCTAAAGATGCTTCATGAGTCTTTTAGCGTTCATTTTTTTTGGTCGGACTTTTAGCGTTCATTTACTATACGTAATTTGTGATTCATTGCTGTCTTACTTATAATTTATAAATTGTAAACAATTTTATATTGAGTTGACACTGATTAATGATATATATATTACAGTAGAGGCTTTCACATAAAATCTCCTTGTTTTATTATTTATCTAAGTTCTTGCGCCTGACACTGATAAGGGATGACATACTGGGTGAGCGGGTCAAGCTCTCGGGGATCGGGATGATACAACCGTACTTCTGGGGCGAGACACCGATCGGAGGGGAGGTGGCGGACCCTGGTCGGAAGGCGTTGGTGGACAGCTGGTGGCGGTTCGTGTGCTTCTCAGACAAGGGGTGCGACGACCCGCTGATCAACCCGTTCGCAGATGGATCCCCTGGCGTGGACGGGCTGGCGTGTGGGAAGGTGCTGGTGATCGTGAGCGAGAAGGACATACTGAGGGACAGAGGGAGGCTGTACTACGAGAAGCTGGTGGAGAGCGGTGGGGCGGTGCCGGCGGAGTTCATGGAGATCGAAGGCGAGGATCATGTGTTCCACATCTTCGACCCGAGCTGCGAAAAGGCCAAGAGGCTGTTCAAACGCTTGGCCTCGTTCGTTAACAGTGACGGCGATGATCACAACAAGGAGAATGCGGAGTGAAAGGTGCATAAAACAAGAGAGAGATGTTGAAAAGCAGAGGGCGTTTTCAAAGTTTCTTTATTACTTTGCCTGAAGTTCGATCGTTGTCGTCCCCTTGCCGGTTGTAATGGTGGAAAAAAGTTATGGTTGATACATTCTTGGCCCCAATAATTGAGGTTAGCTTTTGCAAATTCCTGCTTATTTGTATATCATTTTCTTGTTACGGGTTTTACGTGCGTGTCATGTTCTGGCTTTCGTAGCAAAGTTCGAGACTTGAGCTTTTAATAAGTGAAGTTGGTGCATAAAAGTCCTTTTCGAGGTATTGATTTATTTATCGTGTTTTATTTTCCCTTTTTTGAACTTTATTTGTGGATCATCTCGACCTTAAACCAAATAAATGGTTACCCTTTTTACTAGATTTTTGTCATGAACCTTCTCAAATCTATTGGTAGAAGTCTATGTCATTAGCGCTATCTGCCTGCCAAAGCAGTACCTCCAGATCATTAGTTATCATCTGATTTGTTTTGTAATTGGCAAAGAATCATGATGAGTACGAGAATTTCTTATCAGACCAATTCCCTTGTCAGTTGTCAGTCTCCACGATTAACATGTGTCACCTCTGAGCGAAGCATTAAGATTTGGCCTCGAGATTTTTATAGGTAACGTTGTCAAGATGTCTAGTACACCGAATTATTGGAGGTCGTGATGGAACATGCACAAGATCTTTTGTCATATTCCCCCAGAGCGATTGGTTGGCAACATTTTTCTCTAGTTTGTCGCCCTCTTTGAGCAGAGGGCCCTGATTTCCTAAAAACGCTGGCTTTAGCTCGGGTGCCAATGCCTTTTTATTTGATGAAAATGAACAAACTTTGAGTTGGTACTAAAATCTGGCTTCAGTCAAATTTTCGTACAAGGGATGCCATTAAAGATCCTATGTGCATTCGACTTATATAAGGCGACTCACACCTATGTTGAGGTGAAAGGGTTGCACACCAACGACATCGTCGCAAACCAAGCATTGAAGGGAGATGCCGTCATCTTGAATTATGGGCAGAATTAGGGCTCTCTCTCTCCCCTCCATAAATTGAGGGAAAAAAAAATTAGGGCTCTAGGGTTTGGAGAGGACGAAATTGGTTCAAACAACAGCAAATTAATGCAGAATGTCATCTCAAGGAAACTCTAACAGAGAAGACGAAGTATTGAGTCGATTCATGAGCGATGATTGTGACGTTTCATGCAAGCATTGGCGATGAGCAACCCTCTACATCTTGCGGACCCTAAGAAATCCTGCATGGAGGTTCTTCCGTTGTTCAACATGGAGAGTAAATAATTTATCATAAGTTATTATTGTGAAATTGTTACAATTTGTTGACTATTGTGTGTTTGTTGAAAATTTTCGTGAATTGAATTGATAATCATTGTGTTTGGGGATAATTATCCAAAAAAGCCTAAATCTATTGTACGGCGGTCAATTTAGTTTTAAACTTTTTAATTTGATCAATTTAATCATAAACATTTTAACAATTTGTTAATATAGTCCTTCTAGTCAATTTTGTCTAAAAATCACTAATACGGACGCCGACCATCTTACGTGGTACGGTTGGCACCGACATGGATAATTTTTGTTTATAGCTAAAACGGACTAATAACACCTTCCAGATGGAGTGTACATAGCCCAACTATTGAAACTGATGCAATTCGAGTGAATTGAAGCTACATCAGTTCAATTCTAAGTATCAGTTGCTAATGTTGCATCAGTCAGTTCCACTGATGACTAATGCAATGAACTGATGCTGCATGACTTCATTAAAACTGATGCAGCACGGTTCAGTTAATCAAAAGCAAACAAAATGACATTAAATAAATTTAAACTGATCCACATCTTTTGATTGAAAAGACAAACATCCCAACATAAGAAGCCTTCCCAATATAGCACGCGCAGCTTAACACATAATACATGGCTAAAACATCACGATTACAAAACTACACAGCCAAATCCCCAAACAAATAGTACATAGCCAAATCCATTTAGAAACAACATAAAAACTAGTACTTTTCAGTATACAACTCAACATCCTCATCTAATAGCAGTACCAAACATCCATTAACATATTCCAGTCCACAACTTCACAGTTCACTACCTCCATATTCTTTGAGTGCATGGAGGTTGTGAGATATCAATTGAAGCCTGGCTTGGTGGAACTAGAACATTCCTTGGTCTTGTTTGTCTCTTGGAGATGAATGGACCTCCAAGTCGACAACTCTATCACTCCTTGGTATATGCGGTAAAAAAATGATTAACGTATCACGTCGATTTTCTTTTTGATATACATATAAACACTAGGCAAAGAGATTACCCTAAATATGTATTCCTAGTGGTTCCAGAGATGAAAAGTCCAGATCCTTGTCATGCTTAAAGATACAAAATGAGCGTAAAACATTAATCATAGTATACACACTAGTGTTATGAAATAAAATGAGTTTGAAAAAGAACTAACTTGTGCTCTCTCTATCCTAGTGATAGTGGAATCCCCTATTAGATGGTCTAATGGCATGTGCACTATTAGCCCTTTTGCCAAGCTTCTTGCTAGAATGAACATTTACAAAAAGTTTAGGTACCACATTAAACAAACTAAAATTTTAGGGATGAGTTGCACATTGAGTCAAAATTTAGGAACTATTTATATAATTATTTCTTTCTTTCTGTAAGGTGGGGGTTTGATTGGCTTTCCACTGACTTTGGGCCAATTTTTTTTTTCCATTAATGACTGGAAAGGAAAATTTGTAAAATCTTTCGTAAGCATCTTTCTTAAAACAATTATCGAAATAATCATTGATATCGAACTTCATGAAAGTAAAGCAACATGTGTAATGTGTACATGATACTCTAGAGATATCCCATTCCTTACAATGACATGTCTTTAAAGCCAAGTCAACTGCAAATCTATCATCATCCACTTGAATCTCAAATTTATTTCCCATAGTTGGTCAAGTAATACAACAGATGGACTCCTGTAGAGTCTTTTCCAACTTCATTCTAATCCTTGGGTAAATTGGTATGTTCGATTGACCATTAACTGAGTTGTCTCTACCATCCTCTCTCCATCAACATAGTTCTTATCCATTCAAGAATAAGAAGGGTTTTTCTCATGGTAGGCAAATGTTTTCGTTGAAGGTCTCACCTAAGTTATTATCAACTGCATCACAGTTGATACTTGTCTTGATGAAAGACTTACAAAATTGCTCAAGGCCTTGCCTCTTGAAGTCTTGGTAACCTTTAAGGCACTCCTACTTCAAAATCATCCATTGCTTGGTCAAAATGAGCTTCAAATGTGCACTTCATAGCCCTCCGGAATAGTTTCTTAAGAGCATCCCCTTTGTACAATATTTCTAAAATAGCATATATGTGCCTTGCACAACTTGGATGCTTTGCAAGTGGAGATAGTCTTAAAACCGCGTTCATTTATCCCTACGACCAAATTTAGCCAATAAAAATCAAAAAAATCACATCAATGATTGCACTAGTGTACTATAACAACATCTAAAGACAGAAGCTAAGATATTACCTTTTGTTGATCATTGATAACAGTACAATGTTTGCTTCTGCCCACCCTTGGGTCAATGAATAACAAGGTGAGAAAACACTCCAAGATATTTCAGACTTAGCTTCCACAACAATTGCCCAAGCAATTGGAAACATTTGATTGTTTCCATCTAAGTCCAATGGCACATGGTAATATACCTTTCAATCCAATTTAAGAAAGCACCCATCTATGCTTATGATACGCCTACGTCCTGCTAAAAATCTCATTTTCACACATCAGACCCCACATAAAATCTCTCCAATACTTTGGTTGTTGGATTGACTTCCATCTCAAATGTTCCATACTAACTAACTCTCTTGAGTTCCCGCATATAAGATCTCAACATATTCTATTGCTCCAGTACCGAGGCCCTCATATGACGAAGAGCTTTCCATATGGTGTTATAACTTTTCTTTAATCAAGTGTTGGAGCAAATCTTTCTCTTGGATATGCCAACATATCAATAGTTTAGCCTCCAAGTTATTCCTTTACACCTTTGTTTAAGCCTCTTTTGGTTTTTAATATTTGTTAGAAAGTCTAACTTAAAAACTTAAGTTATTAAGTGTGAGGAGACCACGCATATATTAAGAGCATATATGACCTATTGTCAAGTGATGTAGGATATTTCAATACTCCCAATCTTGTGAAAGCCAAATGAGGAATGGTATGTGAAATTTAATTAACGTGTGTGGACACACAAGCGAAAGGGATAGCACCTGGGTCCGATATCGTATTACAAAGTTCAATCCAAAAACTTAAGCTGATAGATAGAATGAGACAAATGAGACTACATGTATATAGAGAACATATGTGACCCATTGTCAAGCGATGTAGGATAATATTTTAATATTTTCTCTCACGTGCAAGCCGAATTAGAAGTGGCACGTGGAATTTGACCACAGCCCGTGGAATTTGGTTGATGAGGGGTGGACGCACATAAACTAAAGGGATAGCACTGTTATGATATCATATTATAAAGTTCAACCCAAAAGCTTAAACTATTAGATGAATGAAGACCACACATATATAAGAGCATATAAGACATGTTGTCAAGAGATGCTAGATATTTTAACACCCCTTCTCATGTGCAAGCCGAATGAGGGGTAGCATGCGAAATTTGATTAAGAGGTGTGGACACACATGCGAAAGAGATAGCACCTAGCTTTGATACCATGTTAGAAAGTCCAACCTAAAAGCTTAAGTTAATAAGTGGAGAAGATGAGGGAGACTATATGTATATAAAGAACATATATGACCTGTTGTCAAGCGACGTGTGACAATATTTCAACACCCTTTCTCAAGTGCAAGCTATATGAGGAGTGGCATGTGGAATTTGATCGCGGTCCGTGGAATTTGGCTGATGAGGGGTGGACGCGCATAAGCAAAAGAGATAGCACCGGCTATGATATCATATTAGATAGTCCAACCCAAAAGTTTAAACTGTTAAATAAGGGAAGACCACATGTATATAAAGAACATATAAGACATGTTGTCAAGTAATGTGAGATATTTCAACAACTCCTTTCATGTGTAAGCCAGATGAGGAGTCGCACGTGAAATTTGATTAATGGGTGTGGACACATTCACGAAAATGATAGCACTCGATTTTGATACCATTTAGAAAGTCCAACCCAAAAGCTTAAATTGATAAGTTGAAGGAGACGATGGAGACTACATGTATTTAAAGAACATATATGACAACAAGAAATGTTGCACAATATATCAACACTCTTTCACGTGCAAGTCAGATTAGGAGTGACGTGGAATTTGATCACGGCCCATGGAATTTGGATGATTAGGGGTGGATGCACATAAGTGAAAAAAATAGCACTGGCTATGATACAATGTTAGAAAGTCAAACCCAAAAATTTAAACTATTAAGTGAAAGAAATCACATGTATATTATTGACACCTAATTTTGCGCACATCGTTAAATCAACGCTTAAATGGTAAATTGGCCAAATTAGTGCAAAAGAGAGATAAAAAATATATATATGTATAATAAAATATATATATCGGGCCAATTTAGCTTGGCCCATCAACCTTAGCCCCAATCTTTTTCTTTTAATTTTCGCTCGGGCCTAACCCTTTTGTTCATTCCTGGGCTTTCCCTCCCTTTCTTTTCCCTTTTATTCAGCCCACCTTCGGATCACCCCTCTCCTCTTTATTTTCGGCCCACTCTCCCTTCTTTTTTTTCGGCCCAACCCCGTTATCTTCTTTCCCTCTTCCTCACGTTCGTTCAAGACACCAACAGAAGAGACAAGGAATAGAGCAGACAAAGAGCCGAGAAAGACAAAAACGGAGGGGAAGGACGGGAATCGGGGGATAACCGCCGAGGAATATCGGTTGTCAAGGACGATTATCCTTGAGCCGAGGACGAAAAGGACGATTCCCCAAAGGAGAGAGAGGGGCGGGTTTTTATCAGGTAAAAAGGGGGGCTTTTGAAGAGAAAAAAGAAGAAGAAGAGAACAGAGGAGGTGGAAACCGAGGGAAAAAGAAGGGAAGGGGGTCTAAGAAGAGAGTGCTCCGGCTCCTCCACCGGCGAGGATCGCTGGTAAATCTCTTCCCCCCTCCCTGCGAGCCGGCCACCGTCGCCGGACGTCCGTCACATCCAGCCGTTGCGTCTCGTTTTTGTCCGTCACGAACAAAGAAGAGAAAGTTAGAGGAGGGACCGAGAGCTTTTGGGGGAAAATCTGAGCGTAGGGAATCCCCATCCACCTGGAGAAGACCCCGAGGTGCCACCGACAAGCATCTGACCGCCGCGTTGCCGCCGGCCAGCCACGAACAGGTGGGTTCTCATCCCTTATCTTCCCCTGTTTTCGTCCCCCTTCCCTTGCCTCTAGGGTGCTGGGCACACCGAGCCTATTCGGTGGTCGCCCGGCCCCTCGACCGAGGAAAACATGTGTTTGACACCCAGTGAGGATGGTCCAAAGGTTATATGTCGAAAATTGACCGTAAACTTTGTCAAAATCGGATCTGTGACCCCATTTTTAGGCGCCTCGCACATGTTTGTCGAAATGCCCCAACGAAGCTTTTTGAGTCAAAAACTCTGAATATGGTCTTGTTGTTTTTGGACGTTTCTATGCAAACCGAGGCAAGGTTGTGGTTCAATATAGTCGATCATGTCTTTGCACGTCATATTTAAGCCGAAAAACAACCTAAATCTCAGCTTAAGGTCTTCGCTTGAACCTGCATACCACCCGTTCGATAAAATGCTTAGATGGAGGTCCGAATCATTTTTTTTGTGGACTCGGTGCTTGGAACTCGATTTTTATGTTTCGTTAGTTCTTATATTTGTTGAATGGTGCCTGAAGTTGTGTTTTCTTTGTGATTTCTCTCGGTTTTGTGGCATATCTCTCGTTGTTCAAGTCAACCACGGACAAATCCTTCGCCGGAGATCAATGGCCCCTGCCGGAGCGATGCCCGCGGTTCAAGGCCGCAATCGTTAGCCGTCTATCCTCCTTTTGTGTTTGTTTGTGATCGTTTTTCCCTGGTTAAACGTTTGTGGTGGGCTGAGAGTAGAATTGTCGTAAAGTCAAGTTTTTCCTCGTCGAGTTCATTTTCGTGGTCGGAGTTGGTCGCCGGAGTGTTGGCCGGCGGTGACGGCGTAAGGCCAGCGTCCGTAATCGGCTCTGGCGGCCCGAGCCGACGGCCGGCGGTCCGAGCCGACGGCCGGCGGTGGGGCGTTCCCGGCGCAATCCCAGTTTCGGAGATGAGGAGGTCTCGGTGAAGAAACAGAAGGACGTGCAGGGGAAAGGCACGAAAGGGGATGAAGAAGAGTAATAAAAAATAGAAAAAGAAAAAAGAAACAAAAAAAAGGGAAAAGAGGGGAAATAGAAAAAAGAAAAAAAGAAAAAAGAAATGGAAAAGGGGGTCCCGGGCGGATCAGTAATCCGGGTCAGGTGTCGGGCGGATCGGGTCAGGGGATCCGGTCCGAAATCCTTATTTTATTAATAAAAACATTTAAAAATATTAAAAAATTCAAAAATATTAAAAAATTCCAAAAAATTACAAAAAATTCGCAAATGTTTAAAAATCCAAAAATATAAAAAGTCTGAAAAACATTAAAAAATTCAAAAATAAAAAAAATTCAAAAATAAAAAAATTCCAAAAAATTCTAGAAAATCTAGAAATGTTCGGAATTCAGTTTTTGGCTTAATTTCACTAGATCTTAGTGTTTAATTTCATTCTAGACTTAGTTTAAAACTTGCGAAAATTAAGAAAACCTTTAAAAAATTCCCAAAAAATCAGGATCAGCCATTAAGGCTTTACTTTAGGGCTTTTGATTGCCTTTTCTTTTTAGAGACAATGCTAGGTTGCTGGTTGTTTATTTTCTTTATGATTATTTGATTGCACACCTTTCATTCATTAGTTGTTGTTTTCCATTTTTAGAACGGTTAGATAGAATCTTAAGCTTCTTCGATAGGTTGCTCGCTAAGTTAGTTCATGAACGTTCAAGTTTAGGTACCGAAAGAGCGCTAATTAGATTGCTAGTGCAATCAAGTTCCCGAACTTTAGAATCTCTAATTTTCGCGCATATCGAGACGACACTCCTACGTCTTGATTAGGATTTCTAGCCGACCCTTGATTATGGCTAGTGGCGACTCTAATCAAATGCGTAAATTTGATAACTCTCGTCGCGCAAGGTATGAGGCTCGAAAGTGCCTCGGTCTTTGGATTAATAAACTATTTGGTTTGTCCTTCAAACGAATCAATTAATGTTCACATCATTCGACAAATACCTCTTGGTCTGACCGATCGGGACGGGTAAGTCGCGACATATATAAAGAGCATATAAAATATGTTGTTTAACTATGTGAGATATTTCAACACCCCCTCTTACGTGCAAGCTAGATGAGGAGTAACACGTGAAATTTGATTAACGGGTGTGGAAACACGCAAAAGAAATAGCGCTTGTCTCTGATACTATTTTAGAAATTCCAATTCAAAATCTTAAACTGATAGTTTGAAGGAGATAAGGGAGACTACATGTATATAAAATATATATATATGATCCTTTGTTAAGCGATGTGGGATAATATTCCAACATCCTCACTTACGTGTAAGTCTGATTATGAGTAACATATGGAATTTGACCACGGCTTGTGAAATTAGGCTGATGAGAGGTGGACGCACATAATTGAAAGGGATATAATTGATTATGATATTATTTTAAAAAGTCCAATTCAAAACTTAAATTATTAGGTAAAAGAAGATCACATGTATATAAAGAGCATATAAGATTTACTATTAAACAATGTCGGATATTTCAACAATAGGAGTGTATCACTTGCACGAGCAACAACCTCGACGTCAACCTACCTCATTCTCATGGGTGAGAACTCGCTCCGCTATGAAAATTCCTAAAAGGACAAAAAGGAGAAAACAATTTTCATCGAAGAAAGAAATAGATATAATTAGTTTGAATAATGTTAGAATGATGACAAGACAAGAAAAAAAAGTAAGAGTTACGAGAAATACATTCACTACGATATTCTGCAATTATTGCTCTCGCGACGACTTTCCCCCGGCCTCATGTATGTCTCCCTGGTAATTTGTCAACGGAATTGGCTGCTAGGACTTTTTTATCCCTGCATAAATTCAATGCCATCATCAGTACAGTTGGAAAAAAAATTAAAACAGAACATGCATTTTGTTATCTTCAGTAATTAATTATGTTGATTTGGTAACTTTTGTGCATTGAAACATAAAAAAAAAGTTTAGCTTGATTGGTCTAGCGTGAAAGAATTTACACATTCTTGTCGCTGATTTCTTCAAGATGTTGGATGTCTGACCTATAAAAGAGTATAATTAATTCGAATCGATGTAATAAGATAGTCCGACTTTTAAACTAACCATATTCACATAGAAAAAGGGCTAGCTTCGAGGAGATACAAAAAGTATTATGGGTCCACAATTGAAGATCTTTTTAGACATTGACATTTAATAATGAGTCTGACTAACCCTTTTCTAACTTGTAAACTCACAATTACCAAAAGTCCTCCTCAATAAATGGACCTGCTTTGCTATCCCTACTCTTGCTTGAGCCATCGCTATTTCTTGTCTCTCAATTCATCATCCTCACCTCTCTCTTAATCGATATCGTTGACATCTATCTCTCTCTCTCTCTCTCTCTCTCTCTCTCATGGATTCATCCAAAGAAGTCTCGCTCGAGATCTTCCCCTACATCAGAGTCCACAAAGACGGCACCTTTGACCGCCTCGCCGGCTTTGAGATCGCCCCGCCCGGCATCGACCCCGAGACCCACGTTGAGTCCAAGGACATCCTCATCCTCCCCGACACCGGCGTCTCTGCCCGGATCTACCGCCCCTCCTCCGTTTCTGCCACCACAAAACTCCCCCTCGTCATCTACTTCCACGGCGGGGCCTTCATCATCTCCTCCATCGCCGACCCCAAGTATCACTTCTGCCTCAACGCCCTTGTCGCCGAGTGCAACGTCGTCCTCATCTCCGTCGACTATCGCCGAGTCCCTGAGCACCCCCTCCCCGCGGCCTATGATGACTCCTGGGCTGCTCTGCAGTGGATTGCATCGGAGGAAGCCCAGAGCGAGCCATGGCTCAGGGAGCGTGCCGACTTTAACCGCCTCTTCCTCATTGGTGACAGCGGTGGCGCCAACATGTCGCACCACTTGGCCATGCGACTCAGGTACGATACAATAACAATCTAATGATGCTTAGTGAATTTGTCAGTGCTCATTTGTTATAAGGAACTTTGTGATTTAATTGCTAGGACACGTGCGTTTAAACAATTTTAGATCGAGTAGACACAGATCAATATTACTTATTATAGTAGAGGAATTTTATGTAAAATCTCCTTAGTTCATTATTTATGTAAGTTTCTGCGCCCGTTACTGAGAAGGGATGACGTGCTGGGCGAGCGGGTCAAGCTGCTGGGGATCGGGATGATACAACCATACTTCTGGGGCAAGATGCCGATCGGGGCGGAGGTGGCAGACCCTGGTCGGAAGGCTTGGGTGGACAGCACGTGGCAGTTCGTGTGCGTATCGGACAAGGGGTGCGATGACCCGCTGATCAACCCGTTTGCGGATGGGTCCCCTGGCGTGGATGGGCTGGCGTGCAAGAAGGTGCTGGTGATCGTGAGCCAGAAGGACATACTGAGGGACAGAGGGAGGCTGTACTACGAGAAGCTGGTGGAGAGCGGCGGGCCGGCGGAGGCGGAGTTCATGGAGATCGACGGCGTGGATCACGTGTTCCACATCTACGATCCGAGCTGCGAAAAGGCCAAGAAGCTGTTCAAACGTGTGGCCTCGTTGATTAACAGTGATGGGAAAAGTCACGAGAAGGAGACAGTGGAGTGAAAGGCGCATGAAACCATCGAGGCCGTTTTCGAAGTTTCTCTTTTACTTTGCCTGTCGCTACTAAAGTTTCTCTTGTGATGGTGAGAAAAGTGATCCTAGATACATTCTTGGCCAAATAATTGTGGGTAGCTTTAGCGAAGTATGATTGTATCACTATTATTATCTGTTTATTGGCTTAACACGGCAATCTCTGACTCGACCAAACGGGTGAGAGACATGCGTGTCATTTTCCTGCTTTCGTAGGAAAGTTCGAGCTTCACGTTCTTATTAAGCAAACTTGATGCATATCAGTCGTTTTCGAGTTACTCATGGTTTATAGGTTTTTTTTTTTGTTTTCCTTTTTTAGACTTTAGGCTTTATTTATTGAATATCTGAACCTTCAACTAAATTAAATGTTACTTTACTTTTTTTATATATTCTCTTCAATTTATCTGTAGAAGTCTATATGTAGTGGTTTCAAGGCACCCATCAGTCGCTGAGGTGGCGTGTATTTTTTACTCACATTTACTCGCAAATTGACACATGCCTGCAGTGCCACGTCATTAACTGATGTGGAACCAAATAATTTTTTTTTAAAATTCGACTTTTTTCTCACTCTCCCTCTCTTTTGTTCTCCTCCATCGAGCCACTTGGTCTTCATGTGGGCTTCGTCTTCCTCTGTTCGTCCATGGCCAGCCATCCGAGACGAGCTGCGTGTCACCAAATATATGGATAAGCCACCTCGCGAGTCAAGGACGAGCAAAGCTCGTAACAATCGACGAAGCCAGATCTGGAGGCACAACTTCAGATTCAGATTGGATGAGCAACGAGGGAGCCGGGAAGTTTTAATGGATGTTTCAGGATGTTTGCAGACAATTAAAGTATCAACTTGCTTTTATTTTCGATAAACAAATGACGCATTATTCAAAGAGATTATACCTAAATATGCATTAACATTGGCTTCAGACATGAAAAGTCCAATTTCGTGTTGTGCCTGAAGGTACAAAATGAGCATTATCACAGTATACACAAGTGCTGTGGAAACAAAAAAATGTCTAAAAAAGCACTGATGTGTCCTCTCTCCGTCCTGATGATAGTGGAGTTCATATTTAGACGGTCCACCGGATTGTGCAGTGCAATAATAGCCTTCTTGCCAGGTTACTAGGTAGGATTAACCCTATCAGTCTTTTTTGGTCTTCCGTTTTTTTCCCTACATGTGAAAAGCCCAGGATTTTTCGACCCCCAAAAAACAAAAGCCCAGGAAACACCTATTTTATCAGTCACGAGAACCCAAATAAATCTTGGCCTAGTTTCAAAAAAAAAAACGCACAAATTTTAGCTTGGGCGACAATTCTGATCCGAATTTTTTTTCTCGTAAAAAATCATAAACTTTCACTTAAATCCTAAATTTGGTCCCGTTAACTGGGAATTCTTAATTGTCCAACGTGACTATTCCATCGATCCACATCACTTGCTAGTTGGATTTAAATCACTATTTATTGTCTTCTTTTATGAGCGACAACTTGAAAAATAATGGTGTGTTTATGGTCTTCTTCACTTCATCGACAAGTCAAAAAGATCTCCAAATTGAATCTTTTCAGGCAGCCTCCACCGTTTCGTCGTAATCTGAAGTTGTGGATTACCACCCATCAAGAGACGCTATGGACGAGATCCGCCAAGCTCACGACCAAAACTTTTTTTATGAAACAAGCCCAATCCCCCCCGAAACTTCGAAGTCTACGTCAAATGTATATTAATCAATTGATCTCATTTAAAATAGGGAAAATTCCAAATCAGTACCCAAAGTGAGGTCATTTTCTCAAAAAAGGATTTAAAGTGGACGTAGTGTCAAATAAGGGTCTGAAGTGTCCAATTAGTCTCAAATAGAGGTTCGAAATGCCCAATTAGTCTCAACTAAGGGTCTGGGTTCGCCGGTCGGTCAACTACTCACCGGCTGGCAAGCACGTCACTATTCTGAACACCGGAACAGTGACAATTTCGTCTTTTACCTTCTTTTTTTTTTCTCTTTTCCCTTTGCTGGCTATAGCCGGGGCTGGCGGAGGCCGCCCTCGCCGGCGTCGGGCGAAGGCCGCCCTTGCCTGGGCTGGGCGGGCAAGGGCGACCCTCGCCAGATGCGGCGAGAGCATGGGAGCAATCGCCAGGACTTGTGGATGGAAACTAAAGCTGCAAAATTTAACGTTGTTGATGGATGGAAACTTCAGCTTGGCACTTGGTTTTTTTGCTGTGCCCCGCCCGGTGGGTCGGCACCAACATCCTCCCATGCTCCTCGCCGGATCTGGTAAGGGTCGACCCTCTCCCAATGTCGGCGAGGGCGATCCTGGGTTTCCTTCGTTGGCGTCGGGCGAGGGCGGCCCTTGCTCAACGCCGGCGAGGGCGGCCCTCCCCCGACGTCGGCGAGGGCGGCCTCCGCCTGAGGCCAGCAACCTCCGCCGACCCCGGCTATGGCTGACGAAGGGAAAAGAGAAAAAAAAAAAGAAAAAGGAAAGAAAACAACAGAAAAAGGGGAAAAAAAAGGTAAAAGACGAAATTGTCACTGTTCTGGCGATCGGACCAGTGACGTGCTTGCCGGCCGGTGAGTATTTGACCGGCCGGCGAACCCAGACCCTTAATTGAGACTAATTGGGCACTTCCGACACCTATTTGAGACTGATTGGACACTTCAGATCCTTATTTGACACTATATCCACTTTGGACCCTTTTTTAAGAAAATGACTCCACTTTGGGTACTGATTTGGAATTTTCCCTTTAAAATATTGGGCTCTGTTAAATGGATTTTGTTGGGAAATATAATGAAATAGATTCTAAAGCTGTACCCTACCAAAGTGCTTGTAACAATCCGCGAGATCTTAAGTTTTAGTTAACGGGGGCCAAATTTGGGAGTCGAGTAAAAGTTCATGATTTTTATTGAGACAAAAAAAATTTTGGGTTAGAATTATCACTCAAGGTAAAGTTGGTGTTTTTTTTTTGGAATTTGCCCAATAAATCTTATTAAAAGTTACACAATTATCAAATAGGAATTACTTTGGGTGGCCTAGGTGCTTTAGCATTCTTACATGTCTTCTTTTTATGCCCATACTGAAGATAATTTCTACATCACATTTGGACTTCAACTTTCATCAACTTCTTACCATCACTATTTCATCCATCCTTGTTCTCGATTATGTTATTCTCTCCCCCTTTTCCTTCTGTAAGGTGGTAGATTGATTGGTTCACCATTAACTTTGGGCCACATTTTTGCACCATTCATGCCTGGGAAGGGGAATTGATGACATCTTTCATAAGCATCCTTCTTAAAGCAGTCATCCTCATTATTGTTGGTGTCTAACTTCATCAACGTAATGCAACATATGGCCCGTCTACAAGGTATTTCCGAGCTATCCCATTCCTTACAAGCACATGTCTCCCAACCCAGTCAATCACAAATATATCATCATCCAATTGATCCTCAAATTTATTCGCACATCTAGCCTAAAAATACAATACCCGGACTCTAGTTTACTCTTCTCTAACTTCATGTTAATCCCTGGGTAAATTGGATTTGTTCAGTCAACTATTAATTGACTTCTCTCTAGAAAATTATCAAAAAAGTTTTAAACATATTGTACGACGGCCAATTCAATTCTAAACTTTTCAATTTGACCAATTTAGTCTTGAACTTTTAGACGATTTGCCAATGTAGTCCTTTCGGCCAATTTCGGCCTATAATTGTTAACATGAATGACGGCTATCCTACGTGGTATGGCTAGCCCCGAGTTGTCAATTTTTACAATTTTTGTTTCTACTTTTCTTTTTATCTTTTTTTCCAACTTTGGGCCAGCAACCTTGCTAGCCAACCCTTGTCGGCCACGAGTAAGGGCCTCTTCGTTCTTGCAGGCCACAGGTGAGGGCTTTGGCCCTCGCCAAGATCCAGGCGAGGACTGCGACACCCTCACCCAGACTAAGCGAGGCCTAGAGTTGGAAAAAGAAAGAAAGAGAAGAAAAAAATAATAATAAAAAATTCAAAACAAAATTGAAAACAAATTGCAAAAATTGTCCACGTTAGATTTGGTTGTGCCACGTAGGATGGCCAGTATTCACGTCAGTGATTTCCAGCCAAAATTGATCGGAAATGCTATATTGGCAAATTGTCAAAATGTTTAGTACTAAATTGGGTGAATTGAAATGTTTATGACTGAATTAACATCCGTACAATAAGTTTAGGACTTTTTTGGTAATTATCCTGACTTCTCTTTGCTATCCTCTCCATTAACATAGTGATTATCACTTCAAGCATCTCAAGTATAGCTTTTTCTCTTGGTAGTGGAATGTATACATTGAAGGTCTCACTAAAGTTATTATCAACCACATCAAGGGTTGGTATCTATCTTGATGAAAACCTACAGAATTGCTCAAGGCTTGCTTGATGAAGTCTTCGTAACCTTTAGGGCACTTCATCTTGAAATTAGCTATTGCATGGTCGAAATCAACTTCAAATGTACTCCTCGTAGCCCTCTAAAGGAGTTCCTTAAGAGCATCCCCTTTGTGCAATATTTCCCAATAAGCACTTATTTGCCTTGTACAATTTCGATGCTTAGCAAGTAGAGATAGCATTGAAATTGGTTTCATTAGTCATTGCAAAATCACCCGATAAAAAAATTAGTAAATCACATCGATGATTGCATTATTGTAGCTTAATAACATGTAAGGACAAAATGTGAGATATTATTTTTTGCTGATCATCGATTAAAGAACAATCCTAGCCTTTGCCCACACTCAAGTTAGTGAACAACAGGGTGAGAAACCAACTCCAAGATGCCACATACTCATCTTCCACGACTGCCCAAGCAATTATGAACGTTTGATTGTTTCCATCTCTTCCAACAAGTCAAAAACAACAAACCCTTCAATTTAGTCTTATGGAAGCACCCATCAAAGCCCATGACACGTTTACATCCTGCTAAAATATTCCTTTTCAACTCATCAAGCCTCACATAAAACCTCCTAAATACTTTGGATGCTGGGTTAACTTCCATCTCAAATTTACAATACATGCTAACTCTCTGGAGCTTTTGACCCAAAAAAAAACTCTCTTAAACTCCTCTTAATAAGATCTTAGCATATCATATTGCTCCACTATTTGACCTCCCTTGTATAACTAAGCGCTTTCCATACAGCTCTTTATACCCTTTATTTTTATCAAGCGTTGGGGCAGACCTTTCTGTCAATTCTGTATATCCGTAGTTTAGCCCTCCAAGCTATTCCTTTATATCTTTGTTTAAACCAGTTGTTATATTTAATGTACCACTTGCATTGCACGAGCAACAACCTCGATAATGACAAACCAAACGTACCTCGTTGTCATGAAGAAGAGCTCGCTTCCCTTTGGAAATTCCCAAAAGGACCGAAGGAAGAAAGGAAAATTAAGGTGTAGTTACTCCGAATAGTAATAGAATGATGACAAGACAATAAACAAAAGCAAGAGCCACGAGAGATACATTCATCCGGTGTTCCGCAATTATTGCTGATGCGACGACTTTCCTTCAGGCCTAACATGTTTCTGAACTACGAAAAACAATGATCAATCCGAATCGATCTGACGAGATGCTATCATCCCACCATCATCAGATTAAGAAAAACAAGGTTGTCTTCGACGGGACTGAAAAGTATTGCGACCACATTGGAAGACGTAGTCAGACATTGACATGTAACAGTGAGCCTGACTGACTAACCTTTCTTCTAGGTTGTTATTACTAGAAATTACCAGAAGTCCTTAATAAATAGGCCCGCTTGCTTTCCCTGTCTCAGCCGTCGCTGTTTCTTGTCTCTCAATTCATCTTCTTCACCACTCTCTGATTAATATCGTTGACGTCTCTCTCTCATTCATGGATTCATCCAAGGAGGTGTCACTCGAGATCTTCCCCTACATCAGAGTCTACAAAGACGGCACCTTCGACCGCCTCGCCGGCTTTGAGATCGCCCCGCCCGACCTCGACCCCGAGACCCGAGTTGAATCCAAGGACATCCTCATCCTCCCTGACGCTGGCGTCTCTGCCCGAATCTACCGCCCCTCCTCCGCGTCCGCCGCCACGAAATTCCCCCTCGTCGTCTACTTCCACGGCGGGGCCTTCATCATCTCCTCCATTGCAGACCCCAAGTATCACTCCAGCCTCAACGCCCTTGTCGCCGAGTGCAACGTCGTCCTCGTCTCCATCGACTATCGTCGAGTCCCCGAGCACCCCCTCCCCGCGGCTTACGAGGACTCCTGGGCTGCTCTGCAGTGGATAGCATCGGAGCATGCCCGGTGCGAGCCGTGGCTCAGGGAGCATGCCGACTTCGACCGGCTCTTCCTTGTCGGTGACAGCGGCGGCGCCAACATGTCGCACCACTTGGCCATGCGGCTCAGGTACGGTAACAATGACAAACCTAAAGATGCTGAGTGAGTTTTCAAGTATAAGTTACTTTGAGATTTCATCGCTGTGTTACGTATGATTAGAATTTTAAAACATAAACACTTTCATGTTGTGGAGGCACTAATTAATATTGTTTACCGCAGTAGTGTAATTTTACGTAAAATCTCCTTATTTTGTTATTTATCTAAGTTTTTGCGTCCATCACTGATAAGGGATGACGTACTGGGCGAGCGGGTCAAGGTCTCGGGGATCGGGATGATACAACCGTACTTCTGGGGCGAGACGCCGATCGGGGTGGAGGTGGCGGACCCTGGTCGGAAGGCGTGGGTGGACAGCTGGTGGCGGTTCGTGTGCGTGTCGGACAAGGGGTGCGACGACCCGCTGATCAACCCGTTCGCGGACGGGGCCCCCGGCGTGGACGGGCTGGCGTGCGAGAAGGTGCTGGTGATCGTGAGCGAGAAGGACATCCTGAGGGACAGAGGGAGGATGTACTACGAGAAGCTGGTGGAGAGCGGCGGGGCGGCCGCGGCGGAGTTCATGGAGATCGAGGGCGTGGATCACGTGTTCCACATCTTCGACCCGAGCTGCGAAGGGGCCAAGAGGCTGTTCAAGCGCGTGGCCTCGTTCGTGAACAGCGACGGTGATGATCCGAAGGAGGAGGAGGCCGTGGAGTGAGAGGGCGCATGGAACGCAAGTGGAATGTGGACAACTCGAGGGCGTTTTCAAATTCTTTCGTTTACTTTTGCCTCTGCTGTGGCTAATAAAGTTTCTGGTCGTCGTGGAGTGGTCGCTTGTGGTGGTGTAGAAACGTGGTCGTTGATACATTCTTCGCCACGAGAATTGTGGGTAGCTTTTGTGAATTCCTGGTTATTTTAATATCATTTTCTGGTTATTGATTTTCACAGCGGGCGAGAGACATGGATGTCACATTCTGACTTTCCTAGCAAAGTTCTAGACTTTCGTTTTTATAAAGTGAACTTGGCGTACAGCGGTCGTTTCCGAGGTTTTCGTTCGTTCATATTTTTACACCTTTTTCCGACTATAAACTTTATTCATGGATTATCTTAACCTTCAACCAAATCAAACGTCACTTTTGTTAACTAAATCTTTATTTTTCTTCTTATAAGTTCTCCAATTTGCACTAAAGAATCATGACAAGTACGTAAATTTAATATCAAACCAGCACAACAAAGCACGTACTCCTCAAATTCTTGCACGACTAGCTTGTGTCGCTTTTGAGTAAAGCGATAAAATGCACAGGATCTTGTCCCATATGCGCCCCCGGAGAGATGTGGTGGCAACGTCTTGGTCAACTCCCTCCATCGTCCTCATCGAACAGGGACAGGAGACCTGCCCATCATTTAGTATAGAGAGAGCATTCTCCTTTTGTTTCCTTTTCTTGGACAAGAACAAATTGGTAACTGAATTTAGTTTGAATGGGGGTACAAGCAAAGCAGAAGAAAAAGCGTTAGATTTCTAACAAGCCACCTGCAGCGTCTACCGATCAAACCAACTTAATAATCAATCCCGAAACACCGCCACAAAAGATGATACAGAGTCATGCAGAATGCAGGTAGATAGGATGCCGACTTGGAGGGCCTCAGAAGACAACGGTATCGAGCATGGTCCCTAAGGTCTGGACTATGTTGGAAGACATGAGGTTGGAGACATGCTCTTCGAGGTGCTTCTTGGCATCTTGCCTTCCCACATTCGCGATCGCTAGCTTCTCCGGTGGCAATTCGTCCTCCTCCTGCACCGCCTTGTTATACTTGATTGCCAAATTCAGCATCTCCTGCAAAGATTGGAAGAAAAGAAAAAAGAAAAATCAACTCTTTATGATCCTACCAGAAGTAGTCATTAAACAACGCCCACTGACCAACCAAATGACGTATTATTCATAATGAACTGCAGAAAAAGATGGGTTTTCTGTGGCCCTGCCGTATGGAAATTGTGGCCAGTCACTACTCTTTATTGGACTCTAATAAGATACAAACGATCACATGAGTTATACTGAATATGGACACCCCAAGACGGCACCATGCTTCCATTATTAATTCAGCGAATTACTTCCCAACAACAACAAATACTGAATATGGACACCCCAAGACGGCACCATGCTTCCATTATTAATTCAGCGAATTAGTTCCCAACAACAACAAACAACACCCCCCCCCTCCTCTTCCTCTCACTTTCCTACTCCTCGCACAAGGGTGACGTATATGTATCTACCATTAGCTTAAACGGGCCCTATAAGGAAAACCCACATTCAAGTCTTCAGACTCAAGGCATTTATTACACCACCATACACAATGTCATACACAATAATTGCGGTGGATGCGTTGTAATTTATCTGTCACACCTGTCCAGAGTATGCACCAATAATTGTGTAAAGGTTTGACTTTAGATTGTCACCTATAAATATTTGCCCTGTCGCTTTTCATTGACTAGGTCTTTGCCAATCCTTTTAAAAAAAGAACTTTGCAGTGCACTTTCATGAATAGTTTTTGGAAGAGAATATACCAAAGAATGAACAACACTACACCTAAAGCATAAAGCACTTGTCCTTAGCTTTTGGATGATAAAACCTAAATTTTTCTCCTCCGAGCCTTGGACACCCAAAATAGAAATCCAACTAAAACAAGGATCTGAATTTGAAAACAATCATTCGTTTTGCAAGAAACGACAGCTTCTCAACATCCAGTTCAATGAAAGTCTATATGCATTGCAAGCTAATTGATCTTAATTAATTAGGAAAACATGGACACTACATGAAATAATGCTTGAGCAGAGGGCTTTGTCTTGCATTGTCCAGAATCCAACTCTAAGTGACTGGTGCAACCAATTCTCTAATCTAGATGCAACAGATTAAGACCTTGACTTACCTGAACAGTCTGTTCATTGGTTTTAGAATGTGTGTCAAAACGGCGAAGCGTCAAGCCATCTGTCCATTTCTTCTTGTGAAGATTAAGTAGCATTTTTTCCTCAAGTTCATTCTTTCTGTAATTGATGGCAATTGAGTAATAGTGTCTGTTCAGCCCATGGATCAATGCCTAAAAATATGAAGTCAACCCAATGAGATAAGATCAAAACTCAATATTCAAAGAGAGCATTATCTGGTCAGCACTCACTTGGATGGACGGTTTGTTGAGATGTCCAAGGTTGGAGGTTGTTTGCCTGGGTTCTTGGCCAAGCATCATGGTTTGTGGGTTGATCAAACGGAAGGCATCAATCACCACCTTCCCTTTGACACTCTGAATGGGATCCACAACTACTGCAACCGCACGCTGATTTAAAGCCTCAAAACTCTGATTTTATAAGAACACATCACAAGTATAAAGCAGCCTTGTTAACAATTGGATCCAACTGGAAACCTATAAGCAATTATAGTCTAGCAAAAAAAAGACAAATGAAACCAATCATACATGAATGCAATAGGCTATGGTCATCAACCAATGGTGAAAATATCTGAACTATCTTGAGTTACAACTCTCCGATTGAATCCCCAAAGCCACAACCTTCAACCAAAACCATCCACACACCACTCCCAATAGAGAAGCTCTGGAGATAATTTAGAGAATAATGCCAGGTATTTAAAGACTAGTAGTCCACTAAATTGGTTCACTGACTGATGCAGCAGAGTTCTACTTAATGTTGAATATGGCCTCCTTGTTCGCAAACTCAGCTACAGTCTATAACATAACTTAGTAAATCAATTTAGTAGATCGTCTTGACAAATTTAATGTCACTCTAATTTTAATAGCCCGATGGTTGCCAAACACCCACCTCCATCAAGACCAGAATCTCAGTATACAAGAAAGGAAAAGCATAAAGTCGTGAACTCTCATGTCAATGTGTTACTCATGATCAAAGCTATTGATACTTCTACTCAATGTAACTGAGTTCATTTGGCTGTGTTCCAAAACGACATTGTGTTCATAAGGAGGCTGGGGAAAAAACGATATAGGGAAAATAGGTTGATGAATAAAAGAAACTCCATAGTTATACTTCTAGACTTGCATGCCATGCTATCATAACTCTAAATTACATCACCAACCAATAGTGGTTGTAAAGCCCAAAAGGTCATACCATTTGTAATTACAATTTGCATGCTCCTTATAAGAAGGAAATTTAGAGTAAAAGAGATGACCTGCTGCGTGTTGATGTCCACCCCAGAAAGCCAACATCCAAAGCCAGGATGAGAGTGGTACCAACCTACCACCATCTCTGGTCTGCAATGCAGAACACCTAATAAGCATATAAAACATAAACATATGTCGCAACATATACACATATAGAGAAGAACCCAGACCCAGGATGACCAACATTGACGAAAAAGGGCAGTTAAAATAAAATAAAAACCCTGATCACAGGTTACAATTAGAATTTTATACTGGTGCCTATCTGACCTATTGCATTATAGTATTAGATGATAAAATAGCCAGTGTCCAACTCAAGAACCATCCACAAAAATTCAGTCCAAGATACACACACACACAAGTAGAAAATAAAAGTTCTACCTATCCAAAGAGGCACATCTTTAGCACATATATATCGTACTGGTGAACGGTGACCTATGATAAACAGCTAGGACAGAACATATGGACAAAAATTTCTCTTTAAAAGTAAAGCCCGTGAAACCTCATTTCAATTGACCCAGAAATTAAGCAGTGAAAAAAAAAACCGTTGTTTGTCAGTCACTAACATATAATATCTAACACAAGGATCATCACCATTCAGTTTCCAAGTTACTTGAAGCAGAAAATCTGGCAGATGGAAGATCTATCATATAATATATCAAGCCCATAACGGCCATGACATCCATGAGCTCAGAGAATTCTATTCTACCATACCAAAACTTAATTGGAGACTATTCAATCATTGTTCAGCACATAATTAGGTAAGCATTCACATTCGTATTACACAAGCATTACCGTGTGTGATAAACAGAGAAACATGAACTTCGACATGCTCATGGTTCTAGATAGGGAAAATCATACCAGTAAGTAACTATGAAGTTCAACATGCAAGTCATTCTGAAAAAAACAACAATCATGCTGTGGTTCTACCGGTAATTAGAATTTTCTCTTAACTAGCGTCTACATAAAACCTTATCAGCTTATCATAACCTGAAGGCCTTGTAATGATCATCAATTCCTCAGAGAGACCAGAATACAAACAAACAGCCAAGGGCTTATCAGGTGCAATACCCAGTTTTACCAGTCCCAAAACCACCTAATTAAGATAGACCCATACTTTTTTAGGAGTTATGCAGTTCACTGAGGACGCTTTGTAGGTGTGAATTTCTCAACAAGATAGAATAAGACGATAACTAACTTCTCTAGGAGAAATACAATTGACTGATGAAAGCTCTGTCAAACTATCTGCTCTTGAGAAATTTCTGCTAACTTCTGAAAAACGAATGCAGTTCGTTTCTCTAATTCATCGACTGCTGAGTAAAATTACAATAATCAAATTCCATTCTTCTCTTTTCATCATATCATTATGAGTTCCCCAGTCTCGACTCACAAACAATCCTAGACATAGCATGAAAGGACAAGTTAAGCAGCTCCATCATTAACACTGAAGATCTAATTCAAAATCCATCCAGAAGCTAAGATACATCATTGTCAATAAGCAGTAGTTTCTAACTTCAGTTGCACATTATTTCTTTTTTTAAAATTCACTTTCTCATCAGAAGTTAAGCAATATCCTCTGAAGAACTACTCGACATTATAGCTTGATGAAAAGGGCCTTGATACAATTAACCAAAATAAACCGAGAACTGTCTATCAGTTAGTAAGAAATAGCAAATCGCACCGAGTGTGCAGAGAATTACCTTCCAGTCTGTTTGAGCATGTCAAGCATATTGGTCTGAAACACATGATCTACCGCCTCGACACTGACACCAGTACCGCTCTGCGGCATAGCAAACACATCGACGACTCGGACAGTGTACTCGTCCACAAACTCCCCGAGCATCAAGCCCATCACTTCCATGGGAACCCCAGCCCTCCCTGGTCCGTCAAATCCAAGTCTCCATTTAGAGAAAGCAAAAACACTATCCAGCCACCATCGCACCCACAACTAATATCTAACAACACCGAAAAACCAACAAACTCGATCCGAAAGCTCAAAATTCGATGCCGAAGACAGCAATCTTTCCCCGATCCCCCGACATTGAAAATGGAGGCCAGCGGAAAGCACGCGGCAAGAAACCCTAACCGACCCTCCGGTAACGCTAGAGAACAGCCAACCGGCATTTCCAATTAGGGTTTCCTTTTCACGTCGAGCTGTCGGAATCGAGCGACCGCAGCGGCTAAAGACGAAGGGAGAGAGGGATTTACCGTGCTTGAGCATCTTGAGGAGGGCGAGGGAGGAGATGTAGACCTGCTCGGAGGAATCGAGGGTCGGGGAGTCCGGGGGCGGGTGGCCCAGAGCACCTCCGGCGCCGGCGAACATCCGCTGCAGCCTCTCCATACCGGACATTCAAGTTCGGAATCACGCCGCGCCTCTGCGTCTCTCTCCTGCGGTCTTCCTCGTCCTCTCTCGAGTTCTCTGCTGCCGTGAACCGCGATGGCGGAAGGAGGAGGAAGGAGGAGGAGAAGATGAAGAACTTGGGATGACTTTAGCTGCAAGCCAGCGGGAGCTCGTGCTGCTTGTTTGGGCTTCTTGGAAGATGGCTGCTGCATAAACTGGGCCCCGATCGAACGGGCCCAGTCCGGCACAACCGGCGCGAGGCCCGAACATCGGGCCCATTTCTTTGGCGGGCCTGGCCCATGGACAATGTATTAGCAGTCGTTCGCCGTTCGATTGAAGCTAGAGAACCTTGAGGAAGATGGCAAAAAGGTACTGAAGTTTGTTTGTTGTGCGTAGGCACCTCATCTTTTGTTTTTTTGCTTGTGAAAGGGTCTTAGAAAGTGTGTTTTAAAATGAAATTACTTGCCAGTATGTACGTGAGAAAGTTGTTGGCGCAGTTGATTAGAGCATCCGGCTGGGAACTAAGGGGGTAGGATTCGGATTTCTTTCTTATATGCTTAGATCCGGTCGGATGTGCCGCCGGTTCAATGGTCGTACAGCATGGTAGTCTTGATCGGGCTGGATGACCAGCCGGTACTTGGTTGAGCCGATTGAATCAGCCAGCTCAGTTCCCAAACATTGGTCCAAGGATGAAAGGGTGGATGAACCGTGGGTTTGGGAGAGATCCATTGTAGATTAGGGAGAGCTCGATAGCAACGGTCGTATTTTTCAAAATCGTTCTCTCACTGCCCATTTTCCTTAAGATGTAATGGACATGTACATAAGAAAGTGAATATGGACTTTTATTCTGTTATAAGTAAAGTGAAGTGAGAAAAGATGAAGATATAAATAGACTGAAACCTGCTCGAACACACAAGATGGGTAAGAACATATAAAACTTAGTATGTCAGTTTTAAGAAGGCCGAAAGAGTTCATATTGACTTGAGTATCATGACATTTGTCTTTTGTCAAGTGGGGCAGCCCAAATTAACCATACACCATCTCTTCTATTACAACTACACTATTATAAAGAGAACTTTTATATTTGATATCCACCCCCAAAATCATCAAAATAAACCCTAAAATTTGTCATTCTTACATCAAGAAAATAGAAATGGTATTTTTATGCATTCGACCAGGTAGTTTTTCTATTAATCAGTAGTTACTTCCATAGAACTCCTCTTGCATTATCAAACCTCTATTGGTCACCCACTTCTTCAAAGTAACTATCCACTTTCTTTTCATCAATAAAAACAAAGTTATGCACTCTATTTTCATGCACAACCACCGAACTACAGTTACGCGCTATTACATTGCCTCTAGTCTAATATATAACTAGAAAAATGAGTTTAGTCTCACTTTTTAGACTTTCCATAAAAACCGCCCGGATGAAATTATAAAGGGACAAACCAAAGACATAATAGGGACATCTATTTATCTAGTAAATCAAACTTGGATGGTTGACTTTTTAAAGACCTCACAAAGAAGAGAGACCCTCCACTCCTACACTCAACTACTTCAATTTATCCCTTTTTATTTGATCATACCTACTCTATTTCTTTTTTTTTTTTTTTTGGTAAAGGTAAGATGTACTCCATTTCTTTATATCTAATCATTTAGAAAAATTTGTACATATATGTGTCATATATATTTTTCTTTTTGTATTTTTGGCAATTCGTTACATGGTACTGCATTTCATAATACACGACGAAAACACAACTTAATCTCGCATAAAATCACCGAGCTTAATTTATTTTAATCATAATTGAAAATAGATATTTTGGCACTTTTTCTCAACGTTCTTATTATGTGTACATTTATTAATTTCCAATGCAATATACGAATTTACAATTTATCCCAAACCAAATTTGGTAAAGTGGGTACGTCATGAAAATCATGTTAGCTATCTCGATACAATATTGGATACGGTTAATTCATCTAGTTGTGTTGCATGAAATTTATCAATTTTTTTGAGTAACTGAAGATAGTATATGGTATTGATTCATATAAATACTGCATGATATATGGACTTTACATTCGTATTATATTGAATGTATTCTAGTGTAAGTTCTTGCAAATTCGTATATATGCTTGATGTCTCTAAGCTTACGACATGAGTAGGCATTGGACTTTGTTCTAAAAAGTAGGTCGTTAATTGTTGTCGCATTTCGATATATGTCAATGTTTCACTGGTTGCATGACACATACTCTTTAATGAATGTTGTCCTTGGTATTAAGAAGTACTCATTTAAGATAACAGAATAGGGAAAAAGAAACACAAATAACATTGTTAAAAAATTTATATATTCTGATTTAATTGAAATAAAACATGTGTCTCAATGGCTTGTTCTTACTAGAAAGTTTATTGAGGAAAAGGATCAATTAAGCACTGGTAATAATTAAATTCTTTTTCAGGTTTTGCTAAAAATATCATTTCGATGCAAATAGTTCTTAGGCGAAGAAAAATAACAAACTATAACATATACCGCTATTCACATTATGTCGATGGCACGGATTATTAGAAATGTTGTTATAAATCTTCATCATCATCTAATTTTCTGCACACATATTCGCGTGCTTTCCACCCAATACGGGACAAGGGAGTGCAAGGAAAACAGGCCTTTTGATATAGCTCTTTATACAACCCTATATATGTAAAGTTTCGTTAAGTAAAAGTGGCAAATTTTGAATACAAAATCCGTGTAATTTTTTTTTTGTATAATATACATTAATGACTATTAATTAGTAGTCAATTTTTCGAACCATAACTACCAATATCAATGTTGAAGGATGTGGACTGTGCAGCAAATAGATTACACAGTACACCCTATAAAACTCCAAATAAAAATGTGTTAGTGTGATTATAGAATTCAAAAACCATGCCAAAGTGGGTTGGCTCTACTGGTAATGTTCGAACTCTCCGCACACCATGTCCAGATTCGAATCCTGCTGCCCTTTGGTAGGCGATCTGTAAATCCACTAGAAGATCTTATAGGCCTGTGATATGCCGTGACCTTTGCACGGGATAACCTCCCCTCCTCCTAAACTTTTCATATAAAAAAATACAAAATTCAAAAACCATGTTTTATATAGGCAAGTTATGCCTAGATTTTCCAGCCACAGCCCATAATAATGAGGTTTTATTATTCACATAGATGGTGTTCACAACCTATCGCACCAGTTAATTCATACAAAACTAATCATCAAGGAGAATTAGATCAATTTTAACCCAATGCGAAAATTGGCGCTTGGAATTTCATTCAAGAAGAATGGAAAGAATGAAACAATCAAAGAATAAATGAGTTATCCCCTAAGATTCAATCTTCACAAATTGCCGTCTGTTGACTGTGCAGATTAGATCGCTTCAAATTTGCGGAGTTATGTCCATGAGGCGACCTAAGAAGACGAAGTTGTCTCTCGTTCGAGAGCATTTTTGCAAACCTGAAACCACAGTTTAGAATTGCATTTAGTAACCTCGATGATTATACATTGCCCTGAAACTCTTAAATAATTTAAGAACTCAGAGACATCGTTCAGATGGTTCTTTACCTTCTGAGAGCCTCTTCATTAGTCTCCGTGTTACACGCCTTGCATCCACCCGTCTCCAGGTCTACCTTTGAAACCGGCTTCTTCAATAGTGCTTCACCGGTTCTGACTAAGTCGGTCAAGTTCTTCTTCGTCGCGATATCCACAGATGCCACGACCCCACTTAAGTTGTCGTCCTGCCATTCCAAATTCGATTAGCGTGTCAACTCAAGTTCTTCGAGGTGTTAGTTTTCTTAAATGATTCAAGGTGCAATAAGTATACCTGAATCCGGAGGTAGTTGGCTTCAAGGTGCAGGGCCTGGAAGGCTGCGGAGAGGTGGAAGTCGACCATATCGGCACTTGCTTGCATGAACACATCGATCAACGGGTTCCCGCCGTTGCAGCTCAACCAGCTCAACACTCCCCATTTGGCCGCTTCACTTGCATCGTACTTCCCTTCTGATTTTTGTGAACCCGTCCCGAGTGATATCACCAGAAATCTTCTGTAATCCATCGGCTTTATAGGGAAGAAATCCGAGCTTCCTCCCATGATTGCCTTCATCACTTCGCCCATTGCGACTAACGTCTGCATGATGAACGATGTAAAGTTAGAAATTATAGAAACACGTTTTGTTAAGTCAGGTCTGCCAAAATATAGTTATTTCATACCGGATTGTTTGCGGCTACGCCACCATCTATGAGGTTGAATTCTCTCAGTTTTCCTGTGGAGTCTTGGGTTTCGAAATAATGAGCCGGGAGATAAGTTGGTGCTGCTGAGGTCGAGATGCATATGTCCGAGAGCAAGGCATTTATGGTCGGCGTTTTCTTCACCTACTCATTTTCCCGAAAACAAAATACTTAGTTGATTATTTATATATATCATAATAAATAGAAAACTAAGGAAATAATATAAATAAGGAAAGAAATTATATGCATGTTAGGGACAAGAAAATGAACCTCGTAGCTAGAAAAGATCGTTGGCTGAAGACGCTTGATGTCGAACGTTGGGATAACAATGTTAGTCAATGTCTGGTGCAATCTTGTGCTCCCGAGCTTCTCTTTCACGAGCTTATGCAGGTATTTTCCATCGTATTTTGGGCCAGTCACAGCTTTAATCATCTTCGTAGCTGGCGCGAAAGGACAACTGTAGTTTTCAATTTATAAAGACATTATATGTTAGAAAGCATTACTTTGTAAATATTACACCTATATAGGCTTTAAAATTTAGGGTCACCTGTCTTGAGGAAAGATTTTAGGGCAATTATTAAGGTAAAAATCCTTAATGTCTTTCGCAGCGAACAAGGGGCGATTGTTTTCATCCGGGGTGGTTAACATGGCCGTGACGAGACCACCAGTGCTTGTTCCAGCAACAACATCAAAATAATCTGCGATTCTTGCATCTTCACCATCTAGTTTCTGCACCAGTCCACAAAGATATGTTCTCCAGTTAGGAATCAAAATTTGCATGGGACATGCATGCATGAAAAGGCGAACTTCAAGTGATTATAGCACGCAGCAAAGCGTTTCTTACAAAGAAAGTACAAAAGCCTTAGCAAGTGACTGATTTATATGTATTATACCTGAAGTTCAGACTCTAAGAAAGCGAGGATGGTTCCTGGGATAAGCCCTCTTATCCCTCCACCATCAATACTGAGAATCGTAATGAGGTTTCCATAAGTCGGAGGTTGAAGTGGCAAGCTCCTCGTCCTTTCCATGGACATGATCATGTTACTGGAGAGAGAGAGAGAGAGAGAGAGAGAGAGAGAGAGAGAGAGAGAGAGAGAGAGAGGCTTTAAGGAAAAAGATTGAATTGCAACTCTGTTGAATTCCAAGTATGATGTTTGCAGAGAAAGCTGGAAGTGCGAGCTCTTTGGCCTTGATCTGGATAAGAAGCAAGTACTTATAAGCTATGCTTGATTCAAAATTTGACCGAAATCGCGCGTAAGATCTTGTTCAGAATTGTTTTAAGTTGGGCCGCTGATTCTTCAATCCAAAAAAAAACCCATTGAAAAGTCCAAATTTCAAAGGGCTGAATCCTAAATTGCTTCTAGGGAAGCACCTAGCCGATGATGAGTTTGAGCGGTCACCATGCAAGTGAGAACCGTTGTTGAGACTTTCAACGCCCCGAGTGAGACTTATAGGTTTGAAAAGTAAACGAAGGGCACGGGGGGCCATTTTGGAAGCAGCTAACCCTAAGTTCTGATGCGTCATCCACAGTAAACAAGAGGAGCGAATTGGTGCAATGAAATTATTTCTCGAAGTGATATGGGAGACCGCCGGTGAAAATTCGAGCCGAGAGTGAAAAGATCAACGCGCCTCTCAGAGGATGCTTTCTACGAAAATCGAAATATTGACAATGTCATGCGTCGCAAACTGCGAAATGCTATGGTGAACTCTCGTTTGACATATAACGAGAGGACGAAGCGAGAACTGACCGAAAGATTGAAAATGACATTAAGAGGTTTCGAACCGAGGCTGATAAATTCAATTCACGCCTTTGAACTTGAAGGTGGCAATAAAGGAGGAAGGCAGTGCATTATCTTACATCCTGTCTGATTTACATGTCATTTCATCACCTTTTTCATCACCGCGACATGTCGAAAGGGCTCCAACAGCTGCTCTATTCGTTGTTAATAAGCTTCAACTAATTTCGCTTCTGAGTAATTTTTGCTTATGTCATAATGTCTCCTATCTTCTTTATTATGTTGCTTGCGACGTGGAGGCTTTTGGTGATTCAAAGATGGCTGAAAGTTTAAGGGTAATTAAATGTTATGGATAAAAAAGCAACGAAAGTGACGAATGTCCTTTGATGAGACTTCCTTCCTGTTAGCTATGAGAAAATATTAGGTAGGTCAGTATTGTCACGTAAACGGTAGGACACTCTACTCATTAATCGCCACGTGTTTGAGTGAGGGCCCATATTTCAGATTTTGTCTCTTCATCTCTCTCCTCTTCTCTCTCCCTCTTGCCTGCTCCGCCTCCTATTCGCTTCTTCTTCTTCTCCGCATAGGCAACATCTGTTTCCACATCGATTGCAGCTTCGCCACCAACTCCACCGACGCCTTCAACACCACCTGGCTGTTTGATTGCCTCTTCATTGGCGGCTCCTCCTTTGTTGTTTGTCCACTCATTGATTTTTCGTCCTCGCCCTAGCCAAAGGCCGTAAGGGTGAACCTCGCCAAATTCAATGAGGGAGACCATCGCCTAGGCCGTAAGGGTCGAGCCCTCACTAGATCTAGCAAGAGCAACCCTCACTTGTGATCGGTCGGCGGCCTTGGCCAAGTATAGCCCTAGGCCAAAAGGAAAGAAAGGAAAAAAAGGTAGAAACAGTGAAGAAGACAAAGAGACTAATCAGTGAGGCCCACCTGGACACGTGGCAAGCGCTGAATGGAGATTCCTACCACATATGAGACAAGACTAACCTACTATTGACACCTATTTTTAATTTGCCCAAAATTAATTACACAAAATTTAGGAGTTAATTTTCATTAATTCCTAAAACAAAAAATATTTCTATTTAAATGCATTGCATATAGGAATTAGGCATATTTGCATTAATAGGGCCTATTTGAGCATATTTTCTTAATTAATCCTAAAAAAAAAAAAAAAATCGAGTCGGGCCAGGTCGGGGCTGGGCCGACCCGGCCCTTTTCTTTTTTCTTCCTTTCCCCCGGCGTGGGCTCGGCCCACTTTTCTTTTTCTTTTTCTTCCCGCGCGAGCTGGGCTCGGCCCGGCCCAGCTCCCTTTCTTCTTCCCCCTCGCCGGTCGCTCTCTCGCCCCTGTTCTCCCCTGCTCGAGACGTCACGCCGACGCACGGCGGCGCCGCTCCTCGGCGTCGCTATCCGGCCAGAGCAGGGCCGGGTGAACACGCCGACGGGACTGGCATTAATTGCCAGTCCCGTCCTCCCCGATTTTCCGGCTCCCTTATCCCTTCTTCCTTCCTCTCTGCCTCTGTTTTAAACCGGCCCCCCTGCTCTGCTCTGCACCGGCCTGCAATGGCCACGAAAGTCGCGGGGTGGCGTAGGCCGTCGTCACGCCGACGCAGAGGAGCAGAGGGGGTCCGTCGTCCGGCTATAAATAGCCAGAGAGAGGGAGAGAGAGCCCCCGGTCGGCCATTTTTGGAAAAAAATACAGAGAGAGCGTGAGAGCGTGAGCCGGGAGAGACAGGGAGCCTCCGGCAGCCACCGCGCCTCATCCACCCATCCCCGCCACCGAGACGACGGCGGCGACACAGAGAGAGAGAGTGGGTTGGCCGATTTCAGAGAGAAACAGAGAGAGAAAAATAGAGAGAGAAAGAGAGAAAATAGAGAGACAAGAGGGGAGAGTTGGTTCTTGCAGGTTCCCAGCCGCGTCGCCGTCACCCCCCGATCAACCGAAAAGCCCCAGACGCGCCGTCGACGGTGAGCTCTCCCCCCAGCCCGAACCGCCTCTGTTCTGCTCTGTTTTTCTGTTCGGTTTGGCCGGGACTCGCGCCGGCCGTTTCGCGCGAATCTCGGCCCATACCGTCATCCCCCGCCGTCCGTGTGTCCTCACCGAAGGTAGGTTGGTCGCCTGACCGCGGTTCACGGAACAGTCGAATTTGTTGTTTTCGGTCGCGCACACCATCTGCTCGACAAAAGTCCTCAATGAAACCAGTTTTTGTTTTGGTCGCCAGCCGGCGAACGGCGGTCGGACGGTGACCCCGGTGGGTGGAGAGGCTTGGTTTTACTCCCAGGAGGCCGATTTGGGGGCGGCGCTGGTCTGGGTCCGCCGGCGAGAGGCCGTTTTTGGCTTCGCCGGCGGCTGCTCCCACGGGTTCGGCCTGACCCGGTTCAGCCGACCCGACCCGGTCAACGACCGGGTCGGATCCGTTGACCCGGGTCGGTTCCGATCGATCCGGTTCAGCTGATCCGACCCGGGTCAACGACCGGGTCGAATCCGTTGACCCGGTCCGGATCCGCTCCTTTATTTTATTTTATTTTATTTTTTAATTTTTTAATTTTTTTTTCTCTTCCTTTTTTCTTTTTTCTCCTTCCCTTTTTTATTTATTCTATTTATTTAAAAAAGGTTTCGTATTTTATTTTATTTTTATTTTTATTTTTTTAAAATTTTTTTAATGTGATATATTGTTGTTATTTTAATCTAATGTGATATTATGTTGTAAGTTTTTGTCTTGTTTAAATTAGACAAGCCTGAGGTTGAACGGTAGTATTTTGCATGTTAGTTTTTATTACCGTTGTATTGTTATGCATGTTTCTAATACAATTGCATGAGTGTTGTGTTTTTGAATGTCATCTGACTTAGTTAAGGCTAGAACTTTAGGCTGCATGAATTGTTGTGTTCCTGACTGCTAATCGTTTCTGATTATGCACTCGCTTGATCACCTCACATGTTAGGAGAAAGGTCCTAAAATCAATCCAAATTGTCTGACAAATGTTTTCATGAAATGAACAGGATAAAAAGGTACCGAAAGGGCATTAGTTATCTAACTAGTGTAACCAAGTCCCCGAATTCAGTTAATCTCTGGTTCGTAGGAATATGGTGATTCTCCCATCATCCTATTTGGGTTTCTAATCGGCCCACCCCAAATCGATTAGTGGCGACTCCTTGATATAAACCACTTGCATGTTAAAAACTTAAACCCTAAGTCGCGATATGGTATGGGCTTGGGAGAGCCCGAGTTAAGTCCCGAACCTAGACTTAGCACGTACCAGGCGAGCCCCCCCTTTTTTGCATGTTCGATAAAAAGAGGCTCGGGAGTTCGGTCGCGACAGACTGGCGACTCCACTGGGGATTTGCATTTTTTTAAAAAGTGGACTTGGGCCAAAAATTTTATCCTGTTCAAAAATGATTTTTGTTTGGCAGCAGGGACTTCAGGTACGATACTGACATTAAGGTGTTATTTGTTCTTGCAGATTCGAATTGATTGTTTATAATTTGTTGTGCATGCTTTAATGATTTAGCACTACACCGTTGCACACACAACCACGCTGCCGGACCTGGGCCGCGATAGGGCATTTTAGGATGGTGTTAAGAAAGATACGACCTCGAACGCGAGCCCGCGATGTAGAGGTTGCCTTTCTTTTCCCCGAAATTTATTTCTAAAAATTGTAAAGAAGTATCTTTAGCCGCTATTCGCGTGACTATAAGATATTCCTTTCGATTTGGCCGAGGTTAAAAGGACTTGACACCAACGCGAGGCTGCGACGGTCAGGCACCCTTTTAATTTCATTTTGCTGAGCCAGTCTAGATAGAAATTGAACCTCACTCCTCATGTGCATGTCGTTGCGATTGCCATGGTTCAAGGAAAGGTATATATTCTATCCCTTCTCATTTTTTTTTATATATACGGCCTACTTATTCAATTGATTTGTTACTGTTAGGCCACCCGTTGATTGCAGTCTATATACCAGGGATACGCTTATTGCGGAGCTTGTCCATAAAAATAAGCGCCTCCGAGAGACCGTGATTTCCCTATCGTTTATAAAATGAGTATCCGGGAATGGCGCCCTTTTGTTAAAAGCCTCTGTCTTTTATATTTCCTAGTAATTATGTTCAGGGGTTTTGATTATCTCCTGTAAAAATGTTTTTGGGTTGTACTAATGTTAATATAACTCGGGCCATTTTTTATGCTTTAAATAAAATTTTTTGCCCCTTAATGACACCATCGCGGCCTTCGGCCCAGTGGTATCCGGGGATGTAGCGTCACGGTCCGAGGCGACCGGGGTTCGAACCTCGGGGACGCCGCCTGTAATGTTAATATTAATAAAAACCTTTTTTGCTTATTTTTTCTTTGCAAATAAAGAAAATATGCAATAATAATATGAATAAGTCATAGAATGATTCTTTATTGGGCATTATACTCATTCATATCAGCGTTTTCTCGGGTAGCTACAAAAAATGGCCGAAGAAAATGTCCGTCTTAATAACATGGAGGACGAGATGAAGATGGTCCTCAATGCGATCCAAAATCTCACAAAGCAGGTGGAATCCATTCATGGCAAGCTCACACCTACGCCTGCAGCAGTTGAGGTGGTGTTATCACCACCGTCTACCGG